ATCTGAATAAATGTTTCTTTATATAAAAGTTAACATTTAAATTGAGTTAAAGCAAATTATTATTTCCCCTTTAAAAACATTTATTTGTGCAGTATTTTACTTTATTGGTGATTTAATTCCAGTTTGTTCCATTAACTCATTTTAAAAAAATATAAAGCCTCAAAATTAATTGTCGACCATTTTGATAATCGATCAGTTATAGATTGTTTTTATGGGTAATGTAATAATTTGCTTTAACTCAGTTTAAATGTCAAACATTTGTATAAAGAAACATTTAATTCTGATTAATTCTGTTCACACATTTAAATCAGTTTAACATTAATTAACTGAATAGAATTAGTACAAATAAACTTAATTTACCTCAACAATAAATTAGTTACTTTGTGCTCAGTTAAAATATTTTTTCATACTTAAATTATTGGAGTTAATAAATTTAAACAGTTTAATCTGTTTCCTGCCACAGATTGAGTTGAACTCATCAGGTTTTACAGTGTGATTAATACATAATATACAATAATAATAAATCTTTATAATGTTTCCACTGTAATAAAAATAATCCCCAATAATTAAAATACTGTAAAGTTTAATTAATGGTCACTTTTATTAAGTCGTCAGGTTTTTACGTGTAATCGAGTACTTTTACTCACTTACTTTGCAGTGTTACTACTTTTACTTAAGTAAAAGATCTGAGTACTTAAAGAAAGAAAAGAAAAGAAAGAAAGAAAGAAAGGATATCTCCTCTTCCTCCCCCCCTCCTCACCCTTCCTCCCCCGTGTCCTTCTGTTGCTTCTTTTGTCTTTTGACTGCTGGTCACCCCATTTAACATGGGGCAGATAGCATCAGGCTGACAGATATTGGGTTCCCCGGCAGCTCCATTGTTGGGGGAGTGAGGAGGGGTGAGGAAGGGTGAGGGGAGGTGAGGGTGGGGGGGTTCTTGCGTTACAGTCGGACTCATTTAACTCGCAGCCCTCCTTTTAGGAAACGAACAAATTGCTGCTGAAAGTCTGTCTTTGTTGTTTGTGGCTGATCTGGGAGCAGCCGACAACAAACAGCCTGCACAGGGAAAATCTGAGCGACGCAGATCTGAGGTCAGCCGATACGCTGCTGCTGCTGCTGCTGCTGCTGCTGGATCACATCTGTTCACTTTAACAGAACTCAGTGTGCACGGTCCAGCTCGGATCAGCACCGAGGGAGAGGAACCGGCTCCTCAACATTAAACAGTCAGAAATATTCCTGTTTTAGAATCCGGGGCCAAAAATTCAAAGTGTCCAGCAATGAAACTGAATTTAGACCCTAAAAGTCTCCACAAACACTCTGATCTGAGTTTTATAGATTGATACTGATATTGATAAAGATGATAATTACCAATAATACCAATATATTATTGAAAAAGAAAATCCAATTTGGAGTAAAACAACGTTTGTGGTGTTTTTCGTCTTCTAAGAGCTCCTGAAACTGATTTAAAGCAGCACTGGAACCTTTGTTAATTGTATACTATTATAATATATATATATATATTTAAGATGCTTCTCACTGAAAACATTCAGTCATTTTTTGTTTTACATTTTTCAGTTTGGTGCCAAATTTACAGAGTTTTTCTTCCATGAAACTGAATTTAGACACACACACTCTGGTTGGACGGATTCAAGCTGAACACTGATCCTGATATTTTTAAGATGATAATAAACAAAAACATGAAATTATTATTTTTTAAAAAGCTACAAATTTCAACATTTTGGGAGTTTTTCTCTTCTAAGAGCTTCTGTCTGTGGATTTAAAGCCCGACTCCACCTGAAGCCTCATATTAATATAATAATAATAATAATAATAATAATAATAATACCATGTATATCCCCATAATACCACCTGAAGCCTCATATTCATATTTTAAAGATTAAACAACATTCAGAGATCTTTGAACTGTTTTTCTTCCTGTAAGAATCCATGAAACTGGACTCATATTAATAATAACCAATAACAGGAGTTATTATCTGTTAGAGCCTCTGAAACTCAAAGTTTGGACCAATTGATGTTTTTGAGATGTTCATATTTTATAGGATGAAGCATTGAAACATTTAGTGTCACATAATTTAAATAATAGCATTTTCTTGTTAGAGGTTAAACTGAAGCTCCACTGGCTCAGACTGAAACAGCTCCTGTAAATATATATATTATTATATTATTATTATAATTATTATTATATATAATATTCATTTTATTCATTTTAAGGCAACAAAAACATTCAGTCGTCTCTTTAATTTTCCAGTTTGGTGCCAAAAGAAATATTTAATATTTTCCTTCAGACTTCAGAGTCGCTGATATATTTTTATACGCTGCTTCACATTTTTACAATTTGGCACAAAATAATAATAATTATTATCTAATTATTATTCAGAGTTTTAGTCCACGAAGAGTTTAAAGTAAAGATCTCCACTCAGCAGATAACATTGTTCACTTTGTTTCTGCACATTATTATTTATTGATCAAATATTGTGTCTTTTCTTTCAGTGTAAAATCCCCTAAAAGCAACAACAACAACAACAACAACAACAAACAGCCCTGAACTGAAGCCCTGCAGAGGACAGATGTGGTGCAGTTGTGGTCTTTGAACGCATCACTTTCTCTGCAAAATTCTAATTATTCCGTTTTCTTTGGTAAAATTCCTCCGCAGCCGCAAACACACAGAACATACCGACATACCGGAACCAGAACCCCGGAGCATCCTGGGAAACTGAGCCTCACAGACAAAGAGACACAAACCTCCATCAGATCACCAGTCAGAGCGCGAACACGGACTCTCCTGTGCGCGCCAAACCCGGATCCACCTGCGCTGCAGACATTATTATTATTATTATTATTATTATTATTATTATTATTATTATCCTCTGACTCAGCAGAAAAATCCACTAAATAATGAGGATAAGAACCCGGGAAAGTGGCGGTTCGCTTCCTGCTGCAGACTGAGATCTGACCTTTGACCTCCAGCAGCAGCCTGTGAGTTTCCAACAGGAAACATTAAAGAATAAAAAATAAAAACAGATCGAAATATCCAGAATATTTTCTATAATCGATCACGTTCTTGGACAGGAAGGGTGGCGGGAAAGTGTGCAGCAGGATGAAGCTTTGACCTTTGACCCGCACACAGAAAATACAGAAACAGCTTCCGACCTCAAACATCCTCCAAAATAAAGGTTAAAACCAAAACGCAGAATTTCATTTTCCTCCAAATAAAAGGAAGAAAACGGCTCAGCGGCCCGTTTCCGCCATTTTAACGCCGCCACGGGCAGAAAAACGCACCTGTGCGTGAAATAATCACCGCAAAACATCCAGAAGAGACAGAAACGACCTCCTGCAGCGGAGAGAGAGAGAGAGAGAGAGAGAGAGAGAGAGAGAGAGAGAGAGGAAGCGCAACCGGTTCTGACCCAAAACCTCCAGAAGAGACAAAAACCTGCAGCAGGCAGATTCATCCAGGCCCAAAGTGATGATTTAAAAACAGGTGAGGAAGAGGAGGAGGAGGAAGATGTAGAGGAAGAAGAGGAAGAAGAGGAGGAAGAGGAGGAGAAGCTCCTGAAATAAACTTTTTTGTGTGTTTTTTTGGAAAGGATCAGAAAGTGTTGTGATTTGGCTCCAAGAGGTGAAACCAGCTTGTGGAAAGTAAAAACGTCGTTTTTAAGTTTAAAAGATTGAAATATTCCGGATGAGTTTGTTTGTGAAGCACAAAGAGGAGCTCGCGGACTGAAACAGGACGGAAGCCGTGAAGTGAAGCGGATCAGTTTTCAGCTTTTCACCAAAAACCTGCAGGACAGAAAAAACACAAATGATCCGGTTTCTGGTTCTGAAAAAGCTGCAGCTGCAACAACAAACAGCGAGATCTCACCTGCACACACACACACACACACACACACACACACACACACACACACACACACACACACACACTCTGATGGGAGTTTTCTTTAAAGACTCAAAGAATCTGCAGAAAGTCTCGTTTCCACCAGCAGCAGCCTCTAATCCGGACTCACACAGACAGTCTGCAGAAAGATTTCACCTTTTCTTCTTCAGTTTGTGTAAAAATAAAATCAGTCAGAGTGGAACGAACCGAACCAACCGAACCAACCGCAGTAAACCGGTGAGAGGAACCCGAGACCGACCCGGAACCATCTGCAGGTTTAACGGTTTATGTTCGCTGGTTGAGACACAGGTTGGATGTTTGGTGTAAAATCAAACCAGCTGAACCAGAAAGAAAGCAGCAGACTGAGGCTGGACAGACAGACAGACAGACAGACAGACAGACAGACAGACAGACAGACAGACAGACAGAAACTTCCTTTAAACTGAAACATAAAAACACAAAAAGATTTCTGCGCAGTTTAATCTGCAGATTGCACAACGAGGAGTTTCACCTGAGCAGATATTAACACACACAACCTGCACAGCTTCACACACACACACACACACACACACACACACACACACACACACACACCCAGGAGCTCAAACAAAAACAAAACGAGTTGGCGCTCTGAGGAAGAAGCAACCACCGAACCCTTGAACCCGGATCGGAGCTCAATCTGGCGCTAAACCGGAACCTTTCTGGGTGATTGGTGCACATAAACCCGCAGCGGAGCGGCGGTCGGTCGGTCGGGCTCCAGCGGCCTCAACGCGACCTCTGCCTGCATCAGCTGACACACTCTCTGTCCACACAGACGCGCGTAAAACCTTTATGCGTAAAAGCTTTACGCACAGGCGCGCTGCGGCGTAAACATCCACTGTAAACAACAACAACCCAAAACTCCACACAAACACAAACAGGAAGAAATATTTGTTGATGTTCAGTTGCTGCAGAACCGGATCAACAAAACCACAAAGTGAAGCAGAACCAGAATCTCTGAAATCTCCAAAATAATAATGAGGAGTATTTAATCTGTGTTGCGTTCAGGTACCTGGTGATAAAAGCAGACAACACTGGCGGTAAAAGAAGACAAAAGGATGTGCGTTAGTTATGAATGTAACCTATTCTTTTATTTTTGTTTTTTTTATGATTAAAACATTTTTTTCTCTTTTTTTAACTTCTGTAAGCGACAAACACGGGAATAAGAATAAGACCACAATAGTATCACAACCATGAAAAATTGTTTTAGAGACGACAATTAAAGGACAATCATTCCAAGTAGTATTAGATAATGAGGCATTTTTTTCTTCTGTCAAACAAACGGGTTTTTACATTGTTCTTCCTTTTGGAAAAGAAGCAAAACCCCAAATTCAGATTACAAATAGACATTTTTTTCTCTCTCTTTTACTAATTATACAAAAAAATAAAAAATAAAATAAAAAGAAGAAGCGTGAACGTCCGTTTTTTATCGGCGTATCACGTTTTACAGTCAAAGAAGCAGAAAAACAGGCTGACACCGCGGAAAACATCCAGCAAACGAGACGTTTACGCTCCAAAAATCAGCTGGAAATCTGAATATGTCAGTTCAATTTACGCCTTTTCCAACGCAGATTAACATTTAATCTAAAAACGAGGCGGATTAAGGCAAAAAATTAAAATCTGCACCAACAAACCTTAAAAAAAAGTCTAATTTGAAATCGGCGCCACCAAACTTCATTCAAATTTCCGCTAATTTAAGAAAAAGGTTCCAAAAAAACTGCGATAAAAATCTCGTTTAAATGGACATTTTCTGCAGTGAAGGAGGCATCATTCACCCCTTCATCCACTCACTCACTCACTCATTCATTCATTCATTCACTCATTAATTCTACTACATCAGGCCTCTGTCAGCTCAAATACTGACTCTAAAATCTCCTAAAAACCGATTCTTTGGTCTATAAAAAGTTACATTAACAGGTTTATTTTGAACGGATGGAGGAAACAGCCTCAGGACTTTAACGGCGGGAAGTCGCTTTAAAAAAAAAACAAAAAACAAAAACACATTTTCACTGGATAGAAAATAAAATAAAAAATAATAAAAATTAGTGTTTAAATTTTGTAAAATAAAATAATTCTCCGCCGCTTCTTTTTCTAACCCGCATGATACCGGATAATACTGCAAACATGCGGGTAAAAACCGGCTGTTAGAGATATTATTATTATTATTATTATTATTATTATTATTATTTTTAAAAATCTCAAAATTAGACAAAACTATTTTAAATACACATTCTATAAAAAGTAATGCCTCCTCCAACAGCAACAGAAACAGCTCTCCTCATTCTCTCTGTCTTTAGCTCACATTGCACATCGCTGACACTATACAGACGAACCGGACACTTATAGGAACAAACATTATGTACACAGAAAGTAAACTGCAGGAGAAGATGGAGCAGAAGAAGAAGAAGAAGAAGAAGGAGAAGATAATAATAATAATAATAATATTAAAAAATACCTGGAAACTTCAGGGCTGCTTTCTGTCAGTTTCTCTGCTGCTCTTTTTTGTTTTGCAGTTTTTAGTCTCTCCTCTTTTTTCTATAGTTGGTAGTTTATAATAACTTTGTATTTTTTTTTTTTACAATGTAAATGTTCAGTGTAAAATGTTCAACTTACAGTTCCAGTCATTTTAAGATTTTCACTCCTTCAGGTTGGGGGGGGGGGATGGAGAGGATGGATGGAAGGATGGATGGAGAGGTGAGGTAAGGTGGAGGGTGAGGCTGGGGGTGAGGTTGTGGGGGTGTTAGTGTATAAGCGGGTTGGAGGTCGACCCCTGGTTCTGATGCGTAAAATAGTCAGACAAACCCCCGGAAAGTCCCGAAGAGAAGGCCGGCAGAGAGCCGGACAGAGCCGGCCTCAGAGAGTCACAGGGCAGCGAGGAGGAGGACGGAGCCTGCGGGGAATTGGAGGCCGAAGCCCGGGCGGCCTGCAAGGAGCCTCCGCCGCCTCCGGGCTGCGTGGTCATGGACGGGTGCGGGACGTGGGGGAAAAAGTAACTGGTCTGCCCGGCCAGCAGGTTGACCGAGCACGGGTTCAGGGAGTAAGTGGCCCCGGAGCAAGGCACGGAGAGGCCGCAGGGCACCGCCGAGGCCGCCAGGGCCGCCGCCGTCAGGTGGTGCGTCGCGTAGGGGAGGTCCCCGCCGACCAGCCGGTCCATGCTGAGCCCGTTGGACGACGGGAACGAAGAGTGGTTGTTGCCCATGTTCTGGGTGAGCATGGTGCTGTAGGACATGGGGTGAGCCGGGTAGCCCGAGGAGGTCCCGTTGTAGCCCAGGGCGCCGCTGGCCCGCGGGTGGTGCAGGGAGAGGAAGGGGGACATGGGCCAGTACAGGGAGCCGGCCCGGTCCATGAAGGTCAGGCCGGAGGTCAGCCGCGCGCCCCGCTTAAAGGCCAGCTTGGCCCGGGACGTGGTGGACCGCCGCCGGAGCTTCCCGGTGGTGCCGCCGATGAAGACGTCGTCGCTGCTCGGGTCCAGCATCCAGTAGTTCCCTTTGCCCGGGTCGTCGTAGTGCCGCGGAACCTTCACGAAGCATTTATTCAAGCTGAGGTTGTGCCGGATGGAGTTCTGCCAGCCCTGCTTGTTCTCCCGGTAGTACGGGAAGTTCTTCATGATGAACTCGTAGATGCCGTTGAGGGTGAGCCGTTTCTCCGGGCTCTGTCGGATCGCCATCATGATCAGCGCGTTGTAGCTGAACGGAGGTTTTTCGTACTTGCCGCTTTTCTTCTCTCCGTCCTTCCCGCCGGCGCCGCCGTCCGCGTCCTTCCCGTCCTTCTTCTCCTCCTGCTTCTCCTTCTCGTCCGTGCAGCTCTCCTGGTTCGCTGACTCACTTTTAGGGTCCGCTTTGCCGTCCTGCTGCGCCGCCGGGAGAGGAGCCTTCTGCTCGGCTTCGTCCGCGCCGCCGGGCCGGTGGTGGTGGTTCTGGTGGTGGTGGTTCTGGTGGTGATGCTGCTGGTTCTGGTGGTTGTTGTTGTCGCTTTGCACGGCCTCGGGCACCAAACTGTTTATACTGAACGACGATTTAGGAATCATTTTCACCTCTTTGCGCTCTCCCATATCCAACATCACCGGGCAATGAGGGGGGAAATGGCAACGAGCGAAAGCGACGAACACAGCTGGGTCTCAATCTGTCCTGTCTCTGCCTGCGAACCAGGACGGGAAGGAAGGAAGGGGGGAACGATAGGAAGAAAGAAAGTATAGCCCAACAAACTATTTCATGTTCGGTTTGGGGAGAAAAAAGGAAACACACACACACAACACACATGTACACACACATCGATAGGAGACAGATAGCTGCAATTAATTAGGGAGCCACAGCCACTAAAGCAAGTAAAAAACATTGGTTGGACCTTTCCAGTCCTCAGCCAACCAGGGGAACATTAGTATTAAATATTAAGGCGTCCTCTGCGCTTTCAGCCAATCATGACGCACAGGGAAACACACACATCCACCAATACCGGGCCCGCTGCAAGAAGTGTCCAACCAGAGGAGTCTTTAAACGTCTCATTGAGTCTGAAAAAATATTCATTTGATGGAAATGAAGCTGAAAATGTGTCAAATTGGATTTTATTTGTTTTATTGTTTTAAAGAGGATTATTTCTTTTGGGGAGTTTTTTTTTATTTATTTTGCTTTTGTTTTTATCTGGAAACAATCGACCACAGCTCATATTTTACTCATTTTAAAAGAAAAATACTATAATTTATAAAATAAATCCAACTTTATTTGACAATGTGTATTTTTATGACACCATTCTGTATTTCTTTCGGATCTTTTCGGAACAGAATTCGGACTCTCGCAGCCTCTTTACGCGCCCGAATGAGTCTCCAAACGCGCACACTTTTTGCAGCGTGGAAAACACACTCACCCCTATCAACACTCGTCTGCCTTCCCCCTCCTCTCCCCTCCCCTCGCTCATTCTCTCCCCCCTCCTCCCCTCCCTCCCCACCTAAACTAAAACCGTCGCTGGAAAACACACACCGTGCATGCGTACACCCAAATCCCCGCCGCTCCTCATATTTACACTCAAATATTTTCCCCTTCGGCGTCTTCAAAACTGTTTACATCCAGAGTCTGAGGGAAAATAAACAGAGGAGAGGGGATCCGGAGGGCACGCGGACACGGTCAGGACACGCGGAGGTGATGTGTGTGTCAGATCGCAGCAGACCGAGAGGCTGCGGGCTCCTTTCTCCAAAGCCGATTCTCCGTGCGTAAAATGCGCGTAAAATGTGCGCCGGGAGGCGTAAACACGGTGTCATGTCAGTCTGCTGCTTCCAGGAAGGTTTCTGGTTCAGTTTCCTCCCGACGGCTTCAAATCTGAGGCAGAAACACAGAAACACAGTGAGAGAATAAAGGAGGAGAAGGAGCGGAGGCCGCCGCAGGAGACTCACCGACAGCTCCAACAGTTTAAACCCAAACACGAGTTTTAATCCTTCTTGTGTTCTTGTTGATGTTTGTGACACAGCAGATATTATTTACACATTTACAACAGGATTCATTTCACTTTTTATTCACAATTACCATCTTTAGTGTGATATTAACTGTACTGATCCTGCTGAGAGTGCCGCTGCCTCAAACACTGCTCATACAACCACAAACACAATCTGATCCTTTTATTAACCTGACTGGAGTTTAAATGACATTTTACACATTAAAAACTGACATTTAAGGTTTTTATTTTGTTGGCTGGATCCAGTTAAATATTAAAGTCTGACTCATTTTAAATCAGCAGAGAAACTAAATCACATTTAAAGTTTAAACACAATAAAATTAAATATTTAACAGAGTAAATAATTCAAATAAAGACACAAACAGATTTTATTATCAGTGTTTGAATGAGAGACCTCAGTGTTACGGCCTTTAATACTACTGTTACTATTGGTATTAGTATTAATTGATCACAGTTAATTCTACCACGTGACCACGACGACTTTAAACATGTGACCACAAATAATAAAATAAACAAAATGTGTTGATGATATCTGTTCCCGCGCTGAGGGAAAGATCAGATATTATTTACAGTGAAGCCTCCGGATGCTGCAGTGCTGCTGCTGGTATCCTGGTAACCACTGCGTTATTACAATATTATTATTATTATTATTATTAGCTGACTAATATCACTGATTCAGATTTCTCATGAACAATAAACGTTTCTGAAGCCGATTGTGATCGATTCCAACAGTCAGTCCACCTTAAACTGCTGAATTAACACTTCTTTAAGGCGGTTTGAAGATGTAACAGCAGAAATATGAGCGATGAATCAGACGTGAATGTTTGGTTATGGAGGAACAACCGGACTGATTCTGACCCGGACTGTGAATCTGGAACAGTTAATAAAACAACCAGAGGAAGGAGTCTCCGTCCAGAGGAGAGTTTTTGTGCGTAAAAACACAGAAAAATCCTTCAACCAAAGAGAGGAATGTGTAGGAAGAACATTTTCCCTCCAGTTTAACCAGCTGAAGATGTTTGTGGCTCCCAGTGAAGCGACCCTCTGAGGGGAACTTTCACCCCGGAGCAGCAGCAGCTCCAACCCCGGAGCAGCAGCTCCAAGCTCGGAGCCGCTTTTACGCACAGAAACACCGAAGCGTCAGTGAGCTGTTGGAGCTCCTCTGAGACTGTTTCCTCTCAACAGGCTGCAGGTTCGGGCAGACTGAGGGGAGAGAGCCGCTGTCAGCAAATAACACTACTACTACTACTACTACTACTACTAGTACTAGTACACTACTACTACTACTACGAATACTAATAATAATAATAATAATAATAATAATAATAATAATAATAATGATAATAATATGGGAACGAGGCGGAGCAAAGAGAAAATGAAACAATCTACACCCAAACAAATGATTGAATTTAATTTGGTTGAGGAGAATCTCGGCCATCCGGTTCTGGTCTCAACGGTTCCGGATCTTTCTCCGTTTGATTTGATGCTTTCAGCCTTTTGTAAAATCCCGCATTAGGATTTATTCCCGCACATTTTCATCAGTGTGGAGTTTGAAGCTGAAATGATGGATGGTAGAAAATGTTTTTAAAAATCAATGATTACACTTTATTTATATTTATACTTTATTATTAGGCTGACCACTAAAACAAACAGCACAATAAATAATAATAATAATAATAATAATTAACAAAAAACAAACACACTTACTCTGGCTTTCAGTCACTGTAGTGACCTTCAACAGCGGAATGTTCGTAGGAAAACCCTCAAACAAACACTACTACTACTACTACTACTATTACTACTACTAATAATAATAATAACAACAACAATAACCAGTGTGTCCTGTGCGCACTTTGCGTTTGGATAAGTGAATTTATTTTGTAGAATGTTGGTTTGTTTCGTCGTGCTTTTATTTTGATGGGATGGTTTAACTTGATGTTTGTTTGTCAGCTCCTCTGTGACTCTCTGTGAACTAAACATACTGCTTGTTTGTTGTTGTTGTTGTTGTTGTTGTTAGTTTGCTCACAGAAGCTGAAGATGTGAGCGCAGTTTGGACTCCGGCTCCGCTTATATGTTTCTGTGTGTGTGTGTGTGTGTGTGTGTGAGAGAGCAGCATCCACACAGGACCGAGGAGGAGGAGGAAGAGGAGGAGGAGGAGGAGGAGGAGGAGGAGGAGGAGGTGCAGAAAGAATCATCCATCCAGCCTCAGAGAGAGAAAAACCTGAAAGGAGCTGCTGGAATAATTCTTCGGACTGAACCTTTAAAACAAAACCAGCAGGTGGATTCATGGAGGAAGAGGAGGAAGAGGAGGGAGAGGAGGCTCCTCTGTGTTTGTCTGAGGAAGAACAATGAGCATGTGAAGAATTAAATGTTAAAAACTCAAACCAGACTCTGTTCATTTTCTTTAGCATTTTAAATCCTGTTAGAATTGATAGTGAACACATGAGAGCAGTTGACCAGCTATCACACAGACCAGACTCCATTCATTTTTCTCTGGATTCTAAAGTTCAACTGGGACCAGACTCTGTTCATTTTAACCTCAATTCTAAACACTGTAAACCCATTAAACAGAGAGAGAGAGGTTGTCTTCCTCTTCAAGATAAAGTTAAAGTTAAACCAGACCAGACTCCATTCATTTTATTCTGGATTTTAAAACATGTTTTAATGCTTAAATTTACACAGTGCAGAGGATCAGAAAGAGGTTGACTCCTCTTGCCTCTTTTGTTGGTCATCTGTCAACTGGGACTGAGAGAGGGAGAGAGAAACAGGGAGGGAGAGGGAGAGAGAGAGAGAGAGAGAGAGAGAAAGGTGGGGGAACTGCAACCAAACTAGACTCCATACATCCATCAGGAAGAGAAACTGACAGACTTTTGCCTCTTTTTTTGCTCAACCTTCAACTGGGACTTCAAGTCGAACCAAACCAGACTCCATTCATTTTTCTGGTGAATTTAAAAACCCAGTAATCACTGTGTGGTAACTGCAGAGCCAAAGGCCCGGAGAGAGGTTGACTCTTTCGTTGGTCAACTGCAACCTCAAATCCAGTCAAACCAGACTTCATTCATTTTCTTACGAATTTTACAGCAGAAGCTCAAATTTCCACTGTGGCCTTGAAGATACAGGATTAACTGTCAAAGTCCAACTAAACCAGACTCCACTCATTTTTCTTCTGAATTTAAATAACACATCAAACACCTAAGAGAGAGAGGGAGGTTCACGTTTGACTCTTTTGTTGGTCAAATAAGAACAAGGAGTCCAAACCAGACTCCATTCATTTTTCTCTGCATTTTAAGAACGTACAGTGGATCAGAGACACGTTCACTCTCCTCTGCTTCTCTGGTGGTCATCTGCCAACCAAACCCAGTTCATTTTCTTCTGACTTTTAGAGACACAGTTTAAAACCTCACAGAAAAGAAATCTGACACTCAAATATAAACGTTCTTATTAAAGTGATAAACAGTTTTGAACATTTTAACTGAGCAGAAAATATAAAGCTATAAATCCTGATCTAAAGGTTCGTTCACACTCGTGTTGAAACGGATCCTCTGACTGTTGAGAGCAATAAAAAATGTAATTATCGCAGTGAAATCGTTTTATTCCGGCCGATGTTCTCGTGTTTGGATGGAACACAAAGTGAAATCTAATCAGAGAGAAAGAAACACGCAGGTGACCTCTGACCTCCGTCATAATTACCGCCGCAGCCGTCGTCGGGGAACGCAGATTAATTCTGTTCCAGGAGTTTATTGGAACATCTGTTTCCATCACACTCGTTCTTCATCCCGTCACTTTCACGCCGGTGTGAGATAATTTTAGCCGCCCGAGTTTCATCAAACCGACTTCAGATTCTGTCGGAAGCTTTTTTTGATTAAAAATGATCCAGATGTGAAAGCGGCTGTTAGCAGAACGACGGCGGGAAACATCTGCCCCGGTTCTGAGAGGGGGAGATCAATACCCATCGATTGAAGCTGATCGGGAAAGTGTTGATCAGTTAGGCTGGGTTGGTGAGGGGGTTCTGTTCTCAGGGGGTTTTAAGGGTTCTTTAGGGGGTTCTGGTTCTCAGGGGGGTTTTTAAGGGTTCTTTAGTTGGGGTTCTGTTCTCAGGGGGTTTTAAGGGTTCTTTAGGGGGTTCTGGTTCTCAGGGGGTTTTAAGGGTTCTTTAGGGGGGGTTCTGGTTCTTGAGAGGTTCTTTAGGGGTTGGTTCTCAGGGGGTTTTAAGGGTTCTTTAGGGGGTTCTGGTTTCAGGGGGTTTTAAGGGTTCTTTAGGGGTTCTGGTTCTGGGTTTTAAGGGTTCTTTAGGGGGTTCTGGTTCTCA